CAGTGGAGAGGAGCCGTGGAGAACCTGGCGAAACCGCGAGTTTACTTCCAGCGAAACTCTTATCGAGCCAACTCGACATTTGCCGAAGGCCAGTAACTGAACTGGTTTCCGGTCTCAAGGTGATGCAGAGCTGCAGGGAGCAGTGAAACCGGCCGTGCAGCCGCTCTCCAGGCCTGGAGATGGGCTTTCAAAATTGTATCGACCTAAGAAGAAAAACGTTGAGCCGCATTTGAAATCATAGCAACTTTCTACTGTTGTCAGTGGTGCTGCATATTCCCTGGCGTTCAAATACGTACACAAACACTATAACAAATATTATTACGAGCCTATTGTTCTTGATATTAGTGACTCGGTAACAGTAAACACTTTGTAGCAATAAGGTGTGGTGATCTCATTTTCTATTCCATTTCTCCCAGCAGTTCTCAATAGCCATCTGTACGCCATTGGTCGCCCTTCACCTGAATTTGACGACCTTGCCTTTGCCTCGCTGTACGACTCGGGTGGTCAATGTCTCACAGTGCAGCAGCCCGGGGTTCAGTCCTGGTTTAGCCTGGGTGCTCCGGTTTCCTCCCGAGGTTCATTGGCTTCCGGTGTGGGTGTGTGGGCAAGGTGTCTTACCACGTGTGTAACTCCCTTCTGTTCCCAGTCTGCCTCTGCGATTTGTGGTCTCCGACAAGCTGCAGGTTAGAACCCACGCAGCTTCCCACAGTGGGGGCTACCAGCCACGGAGTCCCTGAGTGGCACCGGTTCAGCGCCCTGACCGGATACTTTACAGCAGCTTCAGTCTTTTTTACAGTCGAGAGAAAAAATGTTTTACGTCCCATGACGTGTCCTGTATACGAACAGACATCATTTTTATTGAGCTGGTTCAATGTCTCCAGAGTAAACACACTAAACAGATAATAACGTTTTAGGCTTATGCATTACAATAGTCTTTGATTTTAATACGCACCCGTGTTTGGTAATTCGCGTTGTGCTCTGAAGGCATCGTGAGTATTTTTCCACAGGAGGCTTCATTGAACCTGCACAGCTAGCGCCCAGTCCGCCAGCACATTCGAGGTGAAGATCAGTCCCGAAAGTTTTTATGTTTGCTTGTTTTTTTTAATTACACATTACATAATAACCCGTATTTTTCCCAGCAATACCCGTTCCCCAGTCTTCTTCACAGAACATCAAACGTTATTTAAAACCCAGAAAATCCAACAAACGTAGCGAGAAACCAAGCAGCGAGGAGTACAGTGGCCGAGGAATTTGACGCCCGTGTGTGATGATACATTCTTACAGTATTAGACTGGGATCCCGGGTACAGTGAGGACACGGGGGTCATTCCGACAGCAACCGACAGGGAGGTACGCGGCAGCGAAACTTGCCGACGTGACCTGTGCTTTCAGTACGTTAAAGGTCACGACTTGTTCTTCTGCACTTTAAAATGTTGGTTATTTGATTTTCCTTGAAAATAATTCGGATTCGGTTGTGTCACAAGTGCTCTTGACCTGAGTGCGGTACAATGTTGCTTTCGTATTCCAGACACGCTGACACCTTGAACATACTTGGGAATAGTTATTTTGTTATACGTTTGGCTTAGTTTGTCCAAATATTGTCGTTTTCGTGTGATTGTCAAAAGGGAAGATCTGTGTGTTTTGGCGATGTAATGATTACTTTTTTAGAATCATCAACCTTCGGAAACAGCAAAGAAATTGTTATTTCATGAATGTGCACAGGTAGGTCTGAAACCACTGCTGTTCATCTCCGTCTGAAAAAAAACGTGTTGCCATCTCCTTCTGAACTGAACGCGCTGCTAAAATGGTTAAAAAAAAGTATGTGCAAGGTATATATTCCAAAAAGCGATTAAAGCAACATTTATTTTTTCGTTGCTTAGTTTTGGTATGCATCGAAATGAAACGTCAATCTCAAATTACCGTAATGTATGTTATAAAGAGATATTAAAGACCTTCACGCATTACAAACTTCTGTTATATACTACGGTAAATCGAACCGATCGTGCGCTGTGCAGCTGTATCCTCACTGTAACGGCCCCAGTGACAGAGTGACAGAACCAACCTGCCCCCCGTTTACATTAAATTATGTTGAAGATTATTATTAGAAGCGCTAAGTACACCGAAAGCTGTTTGTATGTATATGAAAATAGTATTTCTTTACATTAATCTAAAGTTTTTGACACTTTTTGATAAAGTTTGTTCTAAATGTCCTGATGGAGTTTATGACATGTAAAATGTTTATATAAATTATTTGTTGGTGGGGAAAAGATATACAATTCAGCTCGTGATGAACAATAATTAAAAAGAATAATTAAATCCATGTTGCTCCTCCGTCCGTTTTATTATAGAAAGTGATTTACAATACACTCTAGCAGCACCTTCAATACCAACATATTGCATTCGGTACTTCTAAAAATATAGAATAATGCCCCTAAAGCTGAAACAAAACAAACAACGAATATACGCAACTCCGTGACAGAGTCTTTCAACGAAATCGTTTCTCATTTGTGTTCCGCATGGCTTGTTCTGGTTCGCTTTCGGCGATGTTGCTTTTTAAAATAAGTTATAATCATGTATCTGTGGGTAAAAATACTGAACTGCAGACGCTAAAGCTATTCACTAGTATTTTGCGTGAAATCTTGCGTATACGATATCTTAATTCAGTAAAGGCAATGTGCTTCTGGCCGAATCCACTGAAGAACGCTGCTTGTGTAAGACCGTGTGTCACTATTTTCCACTAAACAATCAGGTGATTCACTTCCCACTAAATTAGGACAATGTTGTGCTTTCCATTTTTGTTTTTGAGAAACCTCTTAATTAAAAGAACAGATAACATCTGTTGTACATTGCCTGCAGTCTGTTACGCAGCCCAGGCTTCACAACTGTAAACATGAAGTTATTTTTTAAAGTAATATAACGTCGTATTATCCATGTTCAAGGTTTTGTTGTTTACAGACCATTTGTAATGCAGTGTAACATACATTGATAAGGAGGCTGTTCAGTACGACTAAGTAGAAGTCGATTAAAATCTAAATATATATATATATGTGAAATTAGAATGTTTCATCAATTATTTGCACAAACTCCCTAGGTATAATAAGTAAAATATCGAATTTTATATATATACTGTATCTTATAAATATCCAGCAATAACATGAACTTTGACAATTCCTTAGCTTTGTTTCAGAAAGATGTCAGATTTAAAAAAAAAACATACTTTTTTTTTGCCCGTGCTTGGTATTTTGTTAAACGCTGTAGTAGCTAAACCGGGTGGCAGAGGGTACTGGACTACCATGAAGAGAATACTGCAGAGTACCTTCTGGTCTACGATGAAAATCAGTTCTATATTACAGTTTTCTTTCCAGCGTGTTGTTGGTTGGGCTCATATAAAACCAATGAACTGTCTAATATTCCATTTTGACTTCTGGCTGCTAGGATCCGACCTTTGACACCACTTCGGGTGTCGCTTTGACCTACAGTCACCCACACCTTCCACTCGTTAGCCATATCTCACACGCAGCAACGCTCGCCTGGGCGAATTGAACTACGTCCTTTTCCACGATGCCCTCCCAGTACAGTGTGTGCTGTAGTATGGTATAGGGCCACATGACACGGCTCGCGGCTCTACCGCTTGCTTGGAAAACAGTTCTTCCGCAATGGGTGTGCAGTGTGTGTGCCGTCCTTAAGCGGTGCTGTAGAGCTCTTCGCTGGCAAGCAGACGTGAGAATTTAACCCAGAAAAGGAGGGGTGAGGGTGGTGGGGGGGGTAGGGGAGAGAGAGAGATCTCTTATGTAACAATACGCTTCAGATGTATTGGAAATATGAGGGTTATCAAACAGAAGATTTAAGACCTGGAGCCTCCATGTGGTCTAAATATGACGGGTCCTGTGAAGAGTAACAGCTTTAAGTATTCAACCGTCCGTCTGGTTGATTGACTTGATAAGCGGTAACACTACGGCTGTATATTAGCAATGTCATTTCACACTACACACTACACAATGGTAATGCCACACCAGTGTTCTCCAAACAACACCATTACTGATATATTTTTTGTTTTTTTAGTATTGTTCTACGATAATTGCAAAACTGGGGTTTATGCTTTCCAAAAGACTCCTATCAGTTTATTTCTGTCCCTCCCAACGAATATTTTCGATTCCCAAGGAAACGGCTCACAAGATGATTACTGTCTATTAGCTGAATATTCCCTAACACCGCCACATATACTGCTTGCAAACAATTTCCAATACACTCTCTGTCGGCATCTGACAGATTAGTACATGTCTGTCACGCAGATATATTCATATACATAGGCCTATACAGGTTATGGATATATATATATATTAAAGCCGCTTCTTGCTTTTTCCTATTTCTCTGTCAATACCATCATCCAGGAAAGAAGTCTAAACACTCTTAAACGCAAGAGAATCTGAAATACATATCCCTCTTATCCACATATTTTGTTTTTCTTTCTAGAGAACAGCGTTTGATTATAATTTACATGGCGAGCCCACTGCCCAGATAAATGCACTGAGCATACCTGCAGATACCTGGGTTACACTTCATAACAATAATCACAATTTATCCATATGGAATGCTGTAATACTTATTCTGTAGTCTACGTCTGGAACAATGAATGATATATCTCATCCGAAATCTTATTCATATTGCAATAAAAACGGTGTTTTCTAGATTAGAACACATTTTCTTCGGGGCACAACCTGTAAATGTCTATTTTCGTGTGGTATTCTTCTTTGTCCTATAATGATTCACAGGTGAATAACAATTCACAGTTAAATTAAATATTCTGTTTTAAATCTAATTTTATCTTAATCCAGGATATGTCGGTATTTTCTGATCACCCTCATGAGAATGAGTACTCAACACCAACGTTGCTGTTACCATACACAATATATGTACACTCTTTTCATCTATTAATTAAACGAAATTAGGAACAGGGATATAGTCTTTAAATTTAGCTCTGGGGATTTCGGATCTTTATTTTATAGGTTTCTAGATGGTACTGTTGTACCTTCACGCCTCACTTTACAGAGCAACTTTATACCTGGTGTGTTTTTCCAATAGCCATTAGCCCGAGTCCCTTTCATCTTCGCAGCAGAAGCTGTTTCTATTTATCCGCTTAAAATCAATGGGTGCCGTCACAAGTGGTCCTATTATGACGACGGCACCATTAAGAATGACGGCTAGAAAGAACGGGGCAATGGTGATCCCTCCCAGAGCCTGCGCTGCACAGTGGAGTCTCCGCATCGCAGGGTCAGCACATCCCCCTCGCTGCTTGTGTGTTCCTGTTCAAAGCTTGTTTTCTTTGCGTCTTGGCGTTCACACCACATCCATAATGGAAAACAGAAAGGAGGTGGTGATGTTCATGGAGGGAGGTCAACTTGGCACGCTAGTTGGCAAGATAGGGTCCAATTTGTCAGAAGCAGTTGGAAGCCCAGTTCAAGAACCGCAGGAAAAGATGGTCCACAGGAACTGTTTGAGCCCCAGGTCTGCGCCTTTATCACGAGAAAGAGGGGATGAGGAGGTGGAGGATGTGAGGAGCGGCGTGTGCAGCGATATAAGGCCGGGAGGAGTTGTCTCTTCCCCGGGTAAACCTCAGACAGACCTCCTCTCCAACAAAGGGCATCACAGCAGCTCTGACACGGAGTCCGATTTCTATGAAGAGATAGATGTGAGCTGCACGCCGGACTGCACGTCAGGAAGCATGGATTATTCAAACAGCAAAGGTAAAAAGAAACGCATTTCAATTTTACAGAGCATGATCGCTATTCGTTTTAGACAAGACGTATGTAATGCTAACGCTGCAATATGTACTTTCTCTCTTCATGCTATTATCTCTTACATTCTTATAAAGTAATTATTTTAAATGTCAGAGCTTTACAAGTTTCGCTTTCCACAGAAATTTCCAAAATGTGTGATGCATTTTTCTCTGTTGTGGGCTGCTTGAGTGCTTCTGTTCAGTGAATTAATTTTTTTGCCGTTGTCTTTAGGATAACTGTTTTTTTTTTCTGGAGCTTGTTTATACATCTCTTTCTAATTCGATGCAACGAGTTACGGAAACTCTTAATGACCATAAAATTATTGTTGACTCCAGGACTCGAAGGAGACAGAGCAGATAGTATTGACACCTTGTCGTTTCTCCCAATTACCCTGTCACTTTTAAAAGCGTCTTCACGGCGCCGCTTCGGAAGTACCTAAACCACAGATAAAAAGACCTAGCTTCATTTGAAAAATAAATGATGCATTCTTCCGCCCCAAATCTATTTTACGAGGTAAATTATACAGTCTGTGATTAATTAAGATGCAGTTCAGATATAGCTTATCATGATTTTTGTAAACGGGAATCAGGTCGTAAAACGTATGCACTAAACTGAAATAGTTATGAATCTTTAGAATTGAAATAACGAGATATAATTTCCTCGACATGCATTGTGGTGCAAACAGTTCTTAATGTAAATAATTCTACCTTTAAAAAAAAACTTAAAGGTAATCCACTATTAAAGTATTTTAATAGGTAAACAGTTTATACAGCGACATTTCTAGCCCTTAAAATCACTCCTTAAGTTTTAAAATCTGTTTAACCAGGTAATCGATAAATTTTAAAAGGTGATTCTGATCTATTATTATTCCAAGCGTAGCGATTTCTGCCTCCCGGATCTTTTGACACCAGTTATATTCTAATTCGATGCCTTTTTCCAAGCTGTGACTTAAAATACGTATGATTTTTTTGTAACAATTACAAAATGAGTCAGGTAAAATGACAGTTTTGAACAAAACCAAAACGAATGACCGAGAAAATGACGCAAATGTTGATGTTTTTTTAAGAAGAAAAAGTTAATTCTGATACGAAACGGTCTTTCCAACGCTGGCTTGGTCATTCCAGGTCAGTCCGGCGACTCTTCCAGTAACAGCACTGGGAACAGCGAGGCGGGGAAGGGCAGCGCATCGCAGGCTGCTATGGCCTGCGGAGCGGATCAGATGCGGCGCTATCGGACGGCCTTCACTCGGGAGCAAATTGCTCGCTTGGAAAAGGAATTTTACCGGGAAAATTATGTTTCCAGACCCAGAAGATGCGAACTGGCAGCTGCTTTAAATTTACCCGAAACAACCATAAAGGTAAATAAAGCGATATGTCCAGTGATGTAAGAAATAACCATAACATCAAATGTAAAGGTAAGTAAGGCAGTGTGGGTTTACCATGATCAAATTAAAAAAGGAGACTTTCATATAACAATAACTTGAGGAAACAACGAGTTTTTACATTTGTTTTAAATCTTTTGGATTTATAATCCATTTTATCCCACAATGCACTTTTCATTTCGCCACCAATAAAATCACTTCGATACGGAGGTTCTGTTGCAAATGTTGCGTTGTTCGACTTTCTGTCAGTTCTGCTCGGTCACAATTTTTAATCCCAGCACAGAACGATCTGCAGATCATACTCATGAATACGGCTCCCGAAGAACAAAAAAAATATATATGATTTTCAAAAAAAATTGAAATGAAAGCTCTGTTTTCATGAATACGATTGAATAAATAATAAAAAACGACAGTGAAGCGAATGCTTGTAGGTCAGGATCTGAAATGTAACCGTGTAACTCTAAACGGACCTGTTTACCCGCAATATGACCATGTCGGAGACCAGAAGGGGCACTCGGCAGTGCAGCGCCTGCGCTCTTATCCGAGCCGGGCCCAAGGTCCGGTCCGGCGGCTGTACAGACCCTGCGCTGCTGACCGCAGACCCGCTCTGTCTGTCGTAGGTGTGGTTCCAGAACCGGAGAATGAAGGACAAGCGGCAGCGCCTGGCCATGACTTGGCCCCACCCTGCGGACCCCGCCTTCTACACCTACATGATGAGCCACGCTGCGGCCACCGGCAACCTGCCCTATCCCTTCCCGTCGCACCTGCCTCTGCCCTATTACTCGCACATGGGAGTGGGGGCCGGCTCGACCTCGGCGGCGCCTTTCAGCTCCCCTCTGAGGCCTCTGGACACGTTCAGAGTCCTGTCTCACCCCTATCCGAGGCCTGAGCTGCTCTGTGCTTTTCGACACCCGTCTCTGTACCCCACCCCCGGCCACGGACTTGGCGGCGCAGGGGGCAGCCCGTGTTCCTGCCTCGCCTGCCACAGCGCTCAGCCCAACGGCCTGTCCCAAAGGTCTTCGGGAGCAGACTTCACCTGTTCATCCACTAGTAGGACTGATAGCTTCCTGACCTTTACACCTTCCGTGTTGAGTAAATCCTCATCAGTCTCTCTGGATCAGAGAGAAGAAGTTCCTTTAACCAGATAAAACTCAGGTTCTTTCATGTAACGCGACGGCTAAGGGTGCTCGTGAGACTGCAGCAAGCTCCCTGACGAGAAATGACTTATCGGTTTGTGGCCCGACGCCAAGATGGGACGCTTGCTAGGACGAAAATGACACCGTAACAAAAATAATAATGATCATGTTTATCGGAGAAGCCCTGTTACGTACACTTGCTGCCCAGAGGAATGTAAGAAATAACAATAATAACAACACGTAAATCTCAGGCTTGTAAACTGGGTTGCACCTGCAAAGGAAGGAATCGCAATTGCTTGTGAAAAAAACACGTCCATCAGCAGTTAGTGTCAACACACCGAGTACCACTATCAATGACAATACGCGAGGTTATGAAAGTTCATAAGGGGGGAAATAAACTGAATAATAAATGCCATCACATTGCCATTCTTTTTTAAGAGGAAAATCGCTTGGAGTAAGAGGAGTGACGGACCTACAAACCATTACAGAGGGAGGGACGGAGAATCAGGAAAACCGTGGTCAAAGCTTTATTATTGTTGTTTGTCTTTCATTCTGTGTCACACGGTGTTCAATAGGCTTTCTGGGTTCTGATAAAATGACCTCTCCTTCCCCCTTTTCTTCTTTAACAAGGGAATATGTTAACAGACTGTGGAATCTAATTATTTGTCCTCTAAAGCCTGTGTCCTGGTATACGAAGCAGAAATGTGCAGATGCTGATAAAATTAGCAAGTGATATATATGTAAGGAGGAATTTTGAATGTTGAATTAATGATAATACTGTGAGCGCAGAGACTTGCTGCCAAACGTTAACAAGCCGCCATGGGAAAGGATTAGGTCGGAAGCGCGAGAGCTCCATTGGACAATCACATCCTGCAAATTAGGGCAAATGCTATCTGCCTGTCTCATCTCGCCTCCACGTCAGACTCCTCTCCGTCATTTCTTTACACCTCTGCAGAGGGTTTATTGCATTGTTTTTGTGGAATAATTTATTAAGTTTTTTTTTTGCCTGATATTTATTATTTCTTCAATTCTGAAGTTTTTTTTTATCATGTGGTATATGTCCCTTGATTTTATTTTTTTCCTTTGGGCGTTTTGCACTGTTGAAACATCATTTTGTTATGCCTGTAACTGACTCGGTTATTCATATGGGGTGAAGGAATGCTAGACTCATGGTCACTAGGATATTTAATTTCCGCTTCGGAGCAATGTTCACTGAATTTAATATTGTCATAAAATTGTTTTAATCTGTTATCATTTTGCAATAAACGGCATTATAAATGAACACATCGATTAAATGTTTAGAAAATCATTTCTAATTTCTCAAACTCAGTAAAACAGGTTATTATTCGTATTTTTACTCCTACTCCCTTACAAATTATTTCAATTAATTTCTTTATATTTGTAAATTGCGTTGATCAAAACACTTTGATAATCTAATGGTGTGATATGTTAAACTATATTAAACACTTTACAATTTGTGATGAAAATGAACGATGAAGAGCTATTTATTTTTTGGAATGATCGCTCCTGAACAGTTTCCGGTAGTTATAATCTACTTTTGAGCATCGAAACAGTGTGATTTGTAAGCATTTGTTTCCGACAAACCATATTAAATTAAAATTGCAGCGCTGCTTTGCTAGACCCGAGAATTCACAGCAATGCATGTTTTATATATATATATTATGTGCCATTGTTTGAATTTCTACAAAAGTTCTTACCATTCAGAATATCTGTACATTCTGGCGAAGTAAAAACCCTTTCCCCAACTGATCCAGATCGCCTGTCTTAAAATTATATTGTACAACACCGCTCATTGATCATATCAAGAAATTGTTTGTGACAGTTAAATGGCTCCGCCGCTGCCGTAATAAAGCTATATTTTCTTGGCGTTAGCAGTTAATAGGGAAAGCAAAATTAGATGTCTTGAAGAGATATTGGAATGTAAAAGATCGATGATCCGTCCTCCCGCAATCAGCAGTCTTTAATTGGCCGTATTTTCTGGGTAATTGAACCACTCTCTCTGCAAATTGAAGCTTTCTGAAAAAACATTTTTTTTATTATGAAATGTAATCTATTTTCTACCTAGTTATGGTCCTTTACTAAAAAAAAGTACCTCTTACAGAACTTCGAAGGTTCTATTAGCAAGTGTTTGTTAGGTTTGTGGATGTGAACGATAAATTCCGTCCATACGGTAACTCCTATTGTCTATCTGGTCATTACGTGTCATTGTAATGATGCAACGATTCTTTTTTCACCAGCCAAACATCGGTCAGAGAAAATATCCCTGTTAGATTTTGATTGATTGCCTTATTAACTCGTGTTCTTGTAAGTGTGACCAAGCTGATTAAAATTCGTATGTTTGGAACAATGTTCCGTTTAAGCAACTAAGTAAAATAGGATTAGTAATACATAACTTGTTAAACCAGGTAATTAGAATCAGTGATGCTACAAAAACACTATGTTGAAAAGGGGAAAATACTAAAGCAAGTAACAATAATCTGATAATTAACGCGTGTGTTGAAGTGTAATTATCTCATTTTAGTCCGTAGGATATCGTTGGTGTTTCAGTTGCTATTGCCAAGTTCGTCTTAATATCTGCCTGATACATCAGCATGCTTCTTTGTTACATTATGATCATTTCTCTGACTCCTTGTTGAACCTTAGGCACACTACTAAAAAGGCTCTAATCAGAAAGAACACCTTACAACATGTTGTCGCTTTCAACTTGAGTTTTTCAAAGCACAGCCTATCATCAATGAACCCAGACTAGTGAGTTTTTACTTAGTGTTTGATCTTTTTAATGACTACTTGTTATTCTGGTTGAAAAACGTGTCCTGAGGATTTTAATTACTCGAATCCTTAAAACTGTTATTTTATTTCTTATCTTTCCACTTTTACTATTACTTCAACCTAAGATAAAATCGAGGGTTCATATTTTAACAACCTTTTTCAAAACAAAAATTAAAAACGAACTGAAAGGTAAAGATTTATCTTGAAGTTATTTCCTGCATTATGAGGGCTGCTTGGGAAAGACTTGCGATTTCAACTTTAACGCTAGATGTGTGACACTTCGCTTTCGTAAATCGTGTGTTGAATGCCACGTACTAAAAAATCACATCATTCAAGAGAATTCGGACTTAATTGGAGTAATTCTAGATAGTAAACATCAATTTTAATCTTTTTTCACTTCATATTAAGAATACACCATTAGCAGGAAATAGATCCTTTTCTGTTTGTCAGAAACAATTTTCCGCAGCTGCAAATTTTGAAGTTTCCTGGGCCTATGGATTATATTCACGTATTTAAGACAAGATAAACTATTAAACCCTTTGCTTTTGAACGTTGTACTAAAAAATATAACTGTATTTCACCTCTTAAACATTCATAAGAACGCTTTGATATTCGTGATGTGTAGCTGTAAACCACACACATCAAGACAATCACCTCTACTAATTTATATGCGGTATAATGTTTTAGCGGTATAATGTAAGAGCAGGCTAATAGCTGCGGTTGATAGAAACCTCCCAATCCACCAATTGCTGGTTAACAAAGAGAAAACGAAAGGTCTGCAGAGAAATACTTGCTTGTATTGCAGCTGTTCGATTGGCCCTGTTAAAGCTGCGGTGTTTAAATCGTGTTACATTCTAATTTAGAGCCAGTCTCGTTCCGACAGACTGAGGAGCGTGAATAGACCAATCACACCTTAATGATGATGAATGGGAAATTAATTCAGATACAAGCAAGACAATTTAGGCCTTCATCTGTTTAAATAGCCTTCCAATATAATTTGGAATTGGAGGTCACAGATTCAATCAATCGGCCAGGCTTGTGAAAGTCATATCCTATAGCATCTTTATCAACATTATTTATAGCGCACTGGAGACAGCAGTGCTGGCTTGGGAACTCAGTTTAAAGGGAACTGCTTCTGACAACCAGCAGGATTGTATAAATATCTCTGAATTTACCTTCTTTTCAGAGAATATCTTAAATGATGCATTACCAGCCTGTCTTCCAGACCCACCGCCTCCGTACTCCAGTTAGAAGAATAAACATATAGGCTATATATACACTATATTTCTCGTTTAGTGTATTATTTTAAATTGTTAAGATAAAAGATGCAAGTATTGCATTGCGTTGTGATATTGCATTGTGATGTCAAATGGAAGATAGGAAGAGCATCAATACAGGACCGAAATATCATATTTTTCTTACAGTACTACTGATAGTCTGCTGCTTTCGAATGAAGATTAAATCGTATGACAGATTGTTGATGCTTGCGTTGGACACATATCTGAAAGGAAATAACCTTAACGAGTACGCACTGACCGATACAACACACATGCGACAGGAGAACTTTCGATCAATATTTCAAGTTTTTAGCGTTTGATATAGTAAAGGATGTAATTGCTGTTATGACTTTTCCAGTCTGTCGTTAACAGAAGCACGTTTCTGTGTTACATTCAAACAGAAATAAAGCAATCGCGATCCGAACACAACTGTGGACGAACAGGGTACACGGATCTTTGAGAATATAATCGCAAAAAACTAAATATTGTAATTAGATTTTTTAACGTATTTGCATACATTGTTAATAAAACACTTATTTTTCTAACTTTAAAGTTAAATATTTAAAACACGATTGACATCACCCAAAATGCCTTATAACATAGCTCGACTCAGTTCAAAAAACAAAGACAAATGTCAAACATCCACTGGTATCGTATTGTGCGGCGCTTCACCCGGCAAACTTCCATGCACTAAACATATTGAAAGATTGCTCTCTTTCGACGTGTACGGTCTAATCTGATGTTTAGTTTATAATTGTGTTCTATTGAATATAAACTATTCACTCTTGAACAATACAGATACTCCACTCAGGTTTATATATAATTTATATAATTAATTCTAGTGGTCACGTAAATCACTATATTATTTGAGTCGTTTCGTGAAATCTCGACTCTGTGCTTCCAGGGACTGTGGGTATCTGATTGATCGTTTTGGACGTAACATTAGGAAAAGGCTCGTTCTTAATTTCAATCCAGAGCTCGATTAGTTTGTTTACTGACTGAAACCGAAAGCAAGTTTACGAAGTTACACGAAGTTAATTCGCCACAGCGCCGGAGGCTGTGCAGCCGGTGCGAAGCGACAGGGTTCTTGGTGCACCGATACCACCGGTCACGGCCGGCAGGGCAGGGTTTCTCTATGGAAAGACACAGGCTTGATTAAAACAGTATCTAAAACAGTATCTGATTAAATTGTAAATGCCAGTTTATATCGCAATTCTCATTTTGCGAAAGTTATTATATTCGTTTTTTACTCTGATAAAGCTACACTGAGAAAATCATCGTATCATCATTTAAGCTACAACCTACAACAGGTTATCAAACATTTATCAATTTGACCTATAAACACAGT